AAAGCGCAAGGTTGTGAGTTCGGTTCCCGGTACCAGAGAAAAACCAAAAAAAAAACCAAAAAAAAAAAAAAAAAAAAAAAAAAAGAAAAGAAATACAGACTCCCAGGCCCCTTCTAACTTGGAAGGTCCTTCTTGATCCAGGAATCTACATTTACTGAGCATCCCAAGTGATTCCTTGAACACAGCCAATGTGAGAGGCACTGTAATTGCAGATATGGAGAAATGTTCTCTCTGCTCTTAGAGAGTAGGTGAGCAAGGGTTCCACCATGACAGTCTGACCCCACAGCTGCAATCTTAGCCACAACTTCTGTTTTCACAAATCCGCCAAATTTCTGTGAAAACCAAATTGCACTCTTGTGGCTTGAACTAAAAATTTCTATGCTTATATTTTTCTCCACAATATAGGCTCAATTTTCTCATCTGCATGTGGGTAGCTATTGTTAGATAGGTCACAAATGATTTTATTTATCAATAATAGTTAAAATGTAATGTTTTCAAAGTAATGAATTTATTAAGATTAGTAAGTATAGTTTAAAAGTATCCCTGTATCACATGGTATCCCTGTATCACATGTTATCCCTGTATCACATTCTTCTATGCTTTCCAGAAGGGTTTCTACAGTGTGTTATAGATGTGCTTGTGTAATTAACATCTGCCGTATTATTCTCTGCAGAATAAAGTTTGAATGTTGCTAACTGTGGAAATACAAATCTTCTATCCTACTCCTGTCAACTCTAAATGATGCTTAAATATGCATTCTTTCTGAAGTCAAAAATTAGGGGTTTTTTAAATACATTTCAAACCCAGTAAGTTAAAATATAGTGTCTCTGAATTACATGGAATTTATCTTTCAGTAACCACGTTTTTATTTCATGAAAGCAAAATTATTAGATAATATATTTGGTATTTAGAAATATTTATTCAAAATAAAAATTAATACAGTATTTCCAAATATCATTATTTCTTTATTAAATCCACTCATACTAATCATAGTGAACTAATTCTAATTACTGCCTGAGTTTGTAATTTAAAAATAAATACCTGACCAAAGTCTAACATTCCGATTATAGTTTATTTCAAACTAGTCTTCATCTGATTTTGTCTTCTTCTTTTCTGAAACAAAATAAAAATAAGAATCATAGCCATAAGATTTTAAAACTTCAATATAATATATATTATAATTTTAGCTTTCATAACTGTGTGTTCATTTTATGAACTTTTCAGGAAAGATTACATGTTTTCAAAGATTAACATTTTTATAATATTTTGAATGTCTAAATAAAAATGAATTATAAAAATAGGCTTATTGTGCTGGTTATTCAATATGTTATTATCTTATCACAATTTAAAGATATGTTTGCTTTTAATCTGTGTTAAATTTGATATTGCAACATTCCAGTTAACTGGATTATGTAAACACATTAGGTGTGTACTTTGTGTGTTTATTTGTGATCAAAAAGGTTTCTTAAGTCGAATCAAAGAAAACCATAAACTACTATTGTTTATGTACACATTATTTTTAGCACTTAAGGGTAAGTATAGTTTTGTGAACTTTTAGTCCAGATTGCCTCATGAAATTTTAATATGAGACACATACCAAAATTAACAATTTAGAATCCAAATCACTGGTTAATTTTGTCGATAATTTTAATTTAAAAGTTGGTAAAATCAGGAATTAAGTTTACAAAAATTAGTTGTTCATATTAACTCTGAATCTAAAAACTATCATTTTGTTCTCAGATCGTTTGTCAATGAGTTGAGTAAATATTTATAGAATTAACATTATATTAGCAAGAACTTAAACATTCAAAATAATTATCAAGTGAAAAAGTATTTGTTGTTTCAAAGAATAATTCACATAGAAAATCAGTTTTTATTAATCCCAGGTGAATTAAGTGCTGAGTAATTTGTCTAATTATTAAAGAGAAACTGTACTTTTCATTACAAAGTTTAAATACATTAACTGGCCACCATTTGAACTACACAAGTAGTAGCTTTCTACGCACATGCTAAAGATATATCATTGCAAGTAAACATTTTCCAGGTTTGCTTAAGGAATTTAGGGAACAGACTATAAAAAATACCTTTATGTGTTTGTCATTGATAATTTCAGTAAGTTTTTCTTTCAGAGATAGCAGATTTAATCTACACAGACAGAAAAACTACCAGCTTCACTCTGAATGCCTGAATGGTAAATAAAATGAAAGGCTATAACCTACTGTCTGAATAAAAAGTATAATATTTTCCATCTTAATGGAAAATTTATTTAACTATGCATAAGATCATTTATGCATAATCTCACTAAAAAGTGATGTTGGAATGCATGACATTTCTCGGTGTCTATTTCAATATTCTGTGATAATTTCATGCAAAGCACAAGATGAGGAACATTATTTCAACTTTTTAAGCCCTTATTCCCTTTACAAACTTTTCATCATACAGAAAGGTGATCACTGACACTTAAATTATGAATTTAAATTTAAATGAAATGCTGGATATAAAATTAAGTGATACCAATTTAAAAATAAATTTAAAAATTGCAAAGTTAGTAAAGATTCCTATGCAAGTAGGTTTTTACAATGGGAGAAACTTGATATTTGTAGGGCTTTTATGGGTTTAAAGATAAAAATTGACTCCAAAAGGTAATGATCATGAAATAACAGTTTTAATAACCTCTCCACCGAGACATGAATACACATTTTACACATTTTTGTATTTCTGATCTGTGAATATTTTAAAATAGAAAATGTTAAGTGACCATTACAATTTAAGGTCACAGACATCCTCAAATATAGCAATGAAAAAAATGAAAAAAATCAAATTATATCAACTACAGATAATCAGATTTTACAATGTATATACAGATTTAAGAGACGTTTTCAAAGGTAAATTACATTTGTGTGCATTACAACTCTCAAGTCATAGACTGTGTTACTGCAACAGATATTTCACTGTTACTCTGCTACTTCAAAGCTACTTTGTGCCTGACATGATATGTCGCGTGCATTAAATTACACACACATGGACAGTGAGCAGATCACATTAAAAGTAATTTCTCAATCAGTTTTTATTGCACCAAAATAAGTGACT